CGTTATCGTATCGTGAAAAGATGGGCTTCTGATATCTAACATTTAAGACAAAATAAACATTTTACCATTGGTACACGAATCGTGTACCATAATGCATTTCAGCACCATTTGTAATAAGGGACTCGAAGAACGAGGCTAAACATATTCAAAAAGTTATGTCAAACGGTGAGGCCATGTTCTTATCCGGAGAGCATGCGCATAAATACTATTGGTATACATGTAGACTGGAATAACCAGACGCTAGAGATTACCATTCGATTGACACTTCTGGCGTATTTGGCCGAACATAACTGATTTGAAATTAGAGTAAAAACGGAAACGATTGAATGTAAGTTAGTTTATATACATTCATATTACATTAAATATGCGTTGCGGCCCATTTGTGTCAATTTCCAGATACCAAATATTAGCGATTTAGCTCCTTTAAGTTGACATAAAGTTTATGTGATATATGATGATTGTGCCTATAACACTGAGCAACCTGAGAAAATTTTGAAAAATTTAGTCAATATCCTAGCATTTGAGGTCATTTTTGGGAGAAAGTCTTGTGGACGAGAGGACCAGAAATGTGAGCCAATGGGACAGAATCTCGAGATCTGTCCCTGTCAATTCCGCCTGTTTTGCAAGAGTTGATATCTCGGCTATTATTCTAGATATATTTAATTGACACGTATACTATTACTATCTCCCTGATAATATCTACAACATCGTTAACACAGTTCATCGCGTGCATTTTGCATACCGATAGTTCATTGGCCAATCACGCTATTTTACCGACATTTCGCCTAATAGTTTGGATGCAGCTATGGCGGGTGTGGCGCCAGGCAGGGTAAGCTTACTCTTCCGGACACCTGTTACCACTGTTTGTCGTGTATTTTGTACACGAGGAGCAGTCCATTTGCTGATTACACTATTTTGCTTGAATACACTATTTTGCCTATAACGTTTTTTAGGACTTCGAATTCTGTCTTATGGTTTGGATTGTTCGTACTTGGTTTTATTTTATTTGTATAGTCTGACGCCCCAAGACCCACACACCAGTATAACCGGGCAGTTCACTATAACCATGAAATTTCAGATATGTAACCGAGCTTTTAATTTTTCGGGACTGGGCCTGAAAATTTTAGTCAATGTCATGGCAAATGGAACCAAATTCTCGCTAACGAGAGGATAAGAAATGAGACAGAATCTTGTGGCCTATCTGTCAATTGCGCCTGTTTTGTGATTGTTTGTTTACCTCATTAATTCATTTAGTCTGAGACCGACTGCTGTGAGTACTTTTTTTGAGACCGACTATTTGTTTGCCATGGGGGAAAAACATTTCATAGAACAACATACTCACAACAGAATAAGAGTGACAAACATTTCTTCAAACATGACAAGCAGACATGGTTATTTTATATTATAATTTTGTGTGACGTATGCAATTTAGGCTCACGGATTCACGCAAATACATAGTATTTGGGGTCTATTCTGGCATTGTTTTTTACCTCATTAATTCATTAAGTCGCCGATGCATAATTTTGAGACCGACTGCAGTGACTGCACTTATTTTGAGACCGACTATTTTTCTCCCTGGGGGAAATTTTGTTCATAGACCAACATACTCACAACAGAATAAGAGTGAAACCCAACATTTTTTCAAACATGATAAGTTGACAAGGTTATTATATACTAAAGTTTTGCGTGAGTAGCGTGACGTATGCAGTGAGCACTTATTTTGATACCGACTGCACTGATTTCGCGACCGACTATTTTTCTTCCTAGGGGGTGTACCCCCCCCCCCCACCCCACATTTACGACCCTGTCATAAACTGATATATATCATTACTTGTTCTGATCAATGCTGCCTCTATGTTTATTAGATTGTTCAATTTTCGGTGTTCAGTGAACTTCTGTTTACACCAACCCATCTTTTTCATAAAACTTGTACGTGCGACCTAGGCCTCGGGTTGGTTTTAATATATATCTTTTTCAAATTTGGTTTGAAGCATGAGGGGTCAAGAGAAGACAAACTCTGTAGATTTTCAGCATCCCACGACATTGCTTTCCATATGTATGCTTCCATTCCCGCTTACAGCTTTTGTGTGGGTGTATTTTCTTGGGTTTTTTTTATGGCTATCTTTTACACCAGCGACTAATGAGGCGAATTGTTACAATTCCAAACATGATTAACAAATTACAAAAATAGTCGACAATTTAGCACTTTGTCATCCCATCATTAAATCTGAGATTAGTCTTACATTCTCGCGACTAGCTCAGATTTATTGGCGGCTTAAAAGTGATCCTTATCAAATTTTGTCAACATCCAAGGTTTCCTTTCGGATAAACTGCCGCCGGTGGCGATCATTTTTTTCGAGACATAATTGAATATAAACGTAATACATAGAATTTCTAAGTAAAGACGAGGATAATATTTCAGGCATCAATCATCTTTAGCTAACATCTAGATTGAGAATAATTTAATATACTGTCAAACCAGCATTTCAGTACTTTTTTGACGTGAATCGGTGTGAGCACTTCATGCAGCCCTTATGCAAATAAATATAAGATGCAGGCTTTACGTAATGATCGAGGAAAAGTGGAAAGTGAAAATGAAAGTGACCAGTAGTGTAATGCATATTCAACCAGGCCATGTTCGTGAAGCGTGATAGTGAAATGAATAAGTAACCCAGTAAATTTTAAAAGCTCGTCAAATCTTTTTGTGGTCGATTGGTTGCTCTGAATGTAGGCAGCTGCCTACACTGCCGAAAAGATAATCCGCCTCGGACTTTAAGCAATATATAGTATAAAAATATTAGAATTTCGTAATCACTATATGTATTCATGGAGCAATCTAATCTGTAACTAGATAGTTCTAATTGTAATACATCTAACTTTTATACGGTTGCTTTGGACTACGCAGCTGCCTACACTGCCGCATCTAACTTTTATATCCCCCCCCCCCTTAAAAAAACCCAACAACAACAAAAAAAAAAAAAAAGCAAAAAAAGCAAGACGATCGCACTTAAAATCACAACTGAGTTATTATCTAATGACGGGTTACACATCTGCAATCATTAATGTTTTTGTTTATTAGAAATTATTTAGCGTCCAAAACAATATGCAGGCTATTATGGACAGGTCGATGGAATTATGGTTCTTATATTAATGAAGGAGTATTAAAATAAAAGGGTAAACATGTGCAATCATTAAAAGCGGTGTTATAAATAACGCGTCTTCACTCTCCAAGAGTCACATGGGCAGTCAATACAAATGGTAAAAGTAACGTACGTTGAAAGAGTTTAAAACTTTATTTTGTTTTACAAATTCAAACTGTATCAATAATTCACTTAATTAAAATCTTTATATAGTTTTTCCAAATTCAAACTTAATTTCATCTGTATATAGTTTTACAAATCGAAACTGTATTAATAATTCACTTAATTAAATCTGTATATAGTTTTACAAATTGAAACTGTATTTATAATTCACTTTATTAAATCTCTAAAGATGATTAATTAAGTCTCAGACAAATTATGAAATTTTTATGGCGTTAAGCATAATGTATGTGTCAAGAGTTATTACTATGTAATGCTTTATATAGAAGGTTCAATACTCAATGTTATTCTGGTTCAGTATTATACAAGTATCTACAAGTGATTAAAATCTGTTAATGTATCAATAACTAATTCAAAGAAGTGTTGCCAAACATAATTATACAATTATAATAAACAAAGATGCAACTGTTGGTAAGTATTTGTACACGCGGTGTTTCAGTCGGTTAGTCGAACACTAAAGTGAGATGGTAGCGGTAATATACGAAGCCAATCTATTAAACATGTATATATATATATATATATATATATATATATATATATATATAACGGCCCGATAACCTGTTATTGGTTCATGGAGCAAGTCCTGATTCCAGACAGCTTCCTTTAATACTTCTATCACATCACGACAAACACAGTCAGATCTCTCCATTTAGCTTGCTCCTCGTGAATATTTAATACACAGCTGACGAAAACAAGATCATAAAGAGAAGTTGGTTCTCGTGTTTAAGTATTAAATACTTGACAACGATTCCATTCTGTTTAGTGATGGAATCTCATCATTTTTAAACGGACGAGGAACTGTTTTGGATCCATACTGGAAAAAGGTAAATTAATTTCATTTTTAAAAAAAAAAATATTTAAAACTGATATTGGCGTATATATCAGTATCCTTATACATTTATTGAACATATACCAGTATTTATTTTCGGAAATTGATTAATGATTGCAAATAAGTACATGGATGAATTGATTTACTTATCTCTGGACAGTTTTGTGTACCATAATTAATGTAACTTTTTCAGAAAGTAATAACTTCACAAAAGCCGGAAAATCTTACGATTTGTAAGTTTGTTCGTGAGATTTAACGTCCGCTTCCACCGAGGGTGATATCACAGACAAGAATTTAAGATTCTTTTAATGTGTACTTTTATAGTTAGATCTATAAATTGTATGGAAATCTTGGATGTAAAAGTCAGATTGTTGTGATAAAAGTGCACAATTTCTCAGAGAAAAAAAACAAAACAACATTTATTGATATTTCCAATGCATCGCGCACGAAATTGCGTCGATATAGAAACCCCCAGGGAATTCCTATTTCTATTTAAAGTAGCAATTTACTAATTCAGAAAAAACCACGTTCAGCCTTTGCACGTTGTTTAAAACATGCTATATTATTGTCATCTACAAACTTATTGAATTATACAAAATTCCACATTTGTCAAGTACAACGTTCGAAATTGGTAGGCTACCAATAGCGTTGGTTTCCAGTAAGTGATGTCATAGAGAGATAAACAATGGGCATTATTCATGTACCAAACCTGAACATACATATTCAACAATAGTTAAGCTTAAAAGCTGGTTTATGACCACAAATTATTCTGGCTTGACTATACTTAAATTACCACTTTAACAGTTTCGTATTTTATTATGTCCGTTTATGTTTTTCAGATCAGATTTTTTAATAGAACACAGTTATACCTCGGTTGATCATCCTCATCTAAACTGTCCTCTGATATATATGCCACGTAGTACAATCCCAGGGAAAATCTGGTGTAATGGTAACAGCGACCATGGAATGAGACCATGCTTGATTTGGCTGATTAGACCCATCAATTCCTGGGAAAAGACATGGGTGACAAATCGTGGTCTGCGATGCTAATTTTCACTGAACAAACAAAATCTTTACGAAGCCGAATTCTCTGATCTAGATGAAATTTTTTATATAGATTTATATAATAAATATGAATTTTAATACTGTTATACGTGATTAACGTTACAACAACAATTATTATTATAACGGTAATTACGTGATCTCTTGGAATCTTCTTAAATGTTATCCTATCTACTGTCTAGGTATAGTTTCAATATCGATCAATCTTATTGTGGAATGACATAGTTTAACACAAAATTAAGATCCTATTCAGAATGAATCTTTTTTAAATGCAAAAATGACGTTGATCCGGGAAATTGAAATGGCCTATTGTGTTCTTAAGCATAGCATCAATAGTGTTCTGAAATTGAAACTACCCTAGTTGACTTTACGTATATGCGATGGAGAGCACATACCAAGGAGTGCCAGAAAATTTTTCATCGTTCTACGATTTCCCGATCGGTGGGAACCTTTCTATTATTGGATTTAATGCAGATGATAGTTTTCAAAATATTTTGGAACAATACAGAGCTAGTTTGTTCACGTTTCATGACACTACGACAATAGTTTTACTGGCTCTGTATATCCCAATATTGCTTGTGTCTGTGATTGGGAATATCCTTGTGTTGGTTGTGATTGCTCCTAACAAACAGTTACAAAGCGTCACTAATAATTTTCTTCTAAACTTGGCAATAGCAGACCTATTAGGTGAGTACAATGCTATTGATTTTGTTACCATGCGATTAACAATATCTAACCCAGTGTGTTTACGTTTCATGTTATTAGAATAGTCCTTCGGGTGGTACGAAAAAACCGAGGTCCACCTGTATTTACAATGATTTGCAGGTAAAAGAACCACATTGTTGGGTTGCGTTGTACTATTAATATGCTAAAATGTATTGCTTGACGTTCAGGCTTCTATTTACATAACCAACCCAGAGGATATTTCTTGGTGTCGGAGCGTTATTTATATAACCTTCGTTTAGGTACTATATACAAACTATTTTGATGCTAGAACATATCTGACAAGCCATAAAACGGGTATCCTATTTTATTTCCCATCTAAAAACATTCCATTTGCGGCGAGCAAATGCGGCCTAATTACCTTCGAGGAATATATCTTTAGCGGGTTAATGAGTTCGCTGTATATATGTGAAAACTAATTGAGGAACTTAATTTCACAAATACCTACAGATAATATGGCATTAACATTGCCCCCCCCCCCCCCACGCACCAACCAGAAAGAAAAGGTCCGTATAAGTATAAGGTTCGTTTAATAGAGTATGTCGAAAAGGTCTAACTTGGCTCCTCCAAGATGCCAATGGTGTTAAGAGTACGGGGAATCTAAGCGCATTAAGTTAATGGAATTAAACAAGCAACACCTATGGATCACAACTAATACCCTGATTAAAATCATCTTATGGCTTAAGGTGGCACTAACGGGGTCATGAAAGATGGAGGTTAACGTCCACTCAACAAAAGCTAGGTCATTTGGGAACAAACATAGTACTTATCATATAATACTAGTTGCATTTGGAATACAAGTTACAACAAAGCCATGTAAAATAATCGAAAAATCAGTGTACGTCGAAAATGGAAACAGCAAGAATCAATATATATACACAAAGGTGGGTATCTATTTAGGACATACTTTTGATAGATTAACTGAATTCTGAGAATAATTAGAAATCTAGGTTTCTTCATGTTTTCAATCTGTACGGTAATTGGCGTTTGAAACCATAAAAAGATCCATTGCAGTTGACTATAATTTTCAAGAAATTCAATAGCAATTCACTGACTGGTATACTAGCTAGCGTTAATTAAATTAAATATCAAATAGTCTAGAAAAAGAAACTCCCGGATCGTCTTTGTCAATTTATATAAACTAGAAAAAAAACCTTTGATGTAAACCGCAGGGGATAATATACTTAACAGTGCCAGTTAGGAGATGGAAGAATAATATGTTATACACCCACAATATTTCCTTGAAATGAAATGGGGTTTAACGTCCTTCTGTTCTGCTCCGAACTGGGATAATGAAGACGGGCATACGCCATACAGTGTGCTATGTGGGAAATTTTGCCCGGACAGCGGCACTACGACCCACTCTTATATTGAATTCCAACTGTCAAAGGATCTTTTACGTGCACATCCATGTGTACACGGGATACAATACTTCATTGCATTGAATATCGGTCGACGTATAATTAGTTTATCAACGACACACTACAAAAATAGTTCGGTTGAAGCCACAACATTGCTTAATTATGAATAGGAAAAAAAATAAATGTCAAAAGACATACTCTTCAAAAAAAGTAGGGGATATATCGAATTTCAACTGCCAAGGGATCTTTTACGTGCATTCCAATGTATACACGGGACCTCGGTGTTTTGTCTCATCCGAAGGACTAGACAGCTGTCCTTGTCAGGACCTGCGTTCTGCTCCACTGACAAGGGGAAACCACGTCGGAAAATCCTGGCGAACTTTCTCGGCCAATGCAGGGATCGAACATCCGACCTCCAGGCTAGCGAGCCAGCGTTTTTTTTTTGTTTTTTGTTTTTTTTTCTTAACCACCTAGCCACCATGGCTCCCCCGGAATGAAGGACATTAAACCCTATTGCAGATCATTTAATTATTTCAAAATGAAATATTTTAAATAGTTGTTAAATTTTTGAAAGTTGCGTTGTCGGATCTACTGACAGAGATGCTTTCACGACTTTTATGTCATTGTCATTGTGCCAGCTGATAAATAGAAAGCACAATATTTGAATTGATTATTAAAGTATCTTTGTATTGGGCTATTCAATAATATTTACAAGCCTACTATTTAGAAGAAACAAGAAGCCTTTTAGACAACACCCTATTCTGAGATCTTTCTTTCATTCAGATCAATGTTATAGCCTACTGCTGAATTTTTCCAGATGTCTCAAAATACCCCCGTTTGTAAGCAGCGAATTATTACAATTATTAAAAATTTGTTGCGAGTGTTCAATTTTGCGTGAGGAAAAACCACAATGGCTCACTATGCTCCCTCCTCATCACGGATAGAGACCACCCTCTACTCTCCCTATGGCTTCATATAGACACACCTAACGTCTATACAGCTAACAAAGTTTTCTCGTGTCTGTACAAATTCTTATGGGGTTTTTGGCAGTATTTTAATACTGTTTAATCATATCTCCCAAGACATCAATCAATAAAAATTAAAATTGATTGATGTCTTGGGAGAGATGATTAAACGTTTATTGAAATTTTTTGCTGCAAAACGGCAAACGACATGTGATGAAAAAGACTTGGATGATAGAGTTGATGGCCTACTTATTCTTATGGACTGCACAACAGTAAACATTAGACTTTACACTGTTATGATACAAACAAGTACTTGTATATGGGTTGCACAGTTGAGATATTAGATGGATTAGACAATGTCTAGTTCTCATATCCTTAAAATGGATAATCAATTATTTCTTTTATTTTCGTAGCAAGGGTACTTGGCAGTCGAGACTATTTCGTAACAAAACATTCACAACTTCCGCTCAGCATAAAGTAATTTGATTGAAATTTAGATATATGTATCCATTTTTAAACTATTATAGCAAGACAGGACAGCTCTTACATATCTAAATCTTACATATTGTATCTTTTACTTTAGGGTTTACTTTTATGGTGCCTACATGTACCAGTGTGTATTTACATATTGTACAGAGAAAAATCTGTTCTGAGAATTAAACGATAACCCTGCAACAATAGCGTGATGAGATTCAGCTATAAGATAATTAATGGACAGACATGGATGTTATTGAACTCTGGTTGAATATTTGGAGGACGCAGTCTTAGAACTTGGATTAATACAATTAGTTGTTTCCGTTCCCTGACTTAAAGTAATTAGCTTTTAGCGGAGGTGACTACATTTTCTAAGCTGTCACCTGCCTTTGGTATATTTCTTAATGTACTTTACAGTATTTCTAACCTGAATTCCACAATTTCTACAAATATAGAGCTGTGCGAAATGCTTTCACACATTCAAAAAGTCTAATTAGCTTGTGTGTGGGGTAGCTATTTGCTTGTGTAGTTCTTATTCAGATTTGCTCAGATACGGTTCATCACTTCCATAGGGGATGTGTAGGTTGATTGTAAACGTGTCAAAATTAGATTATGGTTGATTTGAATAGCATTTGGTAGGTATATATGGCTTAAAGGGTATAGGAGTCTATTCTTTCGAACCTTAAAATATAAGAAAATGAAAATGGGGTTTAAGGTCCTGCTGATCTGATCCGACTGGGCTAATGAAGACGAGCATACGCCGTACAGTGTGCTATAAGCGAAATTTTGCCTGGACAGTGGCACTATGGCTGTCTCTTGCCAGACCCTCTGTCCTGCACAGCTGACAATGGAGAACGATGCCGGAAAATCCAAATGAACTTTCTCGGCCAACGTATGGATCGAACACGTGACCTCCAGGTTAGCGAGCCAACGTATTACTCATCCAGCGTTTCTTTATTGAATTTAAGAGTTTAGACTACTTTTTTTTATACATTTCACCGATGTGGTTACTTGTGTAGTTGAATTTTACTACATATGCTTACATTCGTATTTCGTGTAGCATATAGCAGATCATGACTCATGCTTGCATTACACAATGGGCTCTTTGGGTTGTATTCCTAATTGTTTTCAAATTTGAGTGAAGTCTGTGTCACTACAGACCCGGGACTGTACAGCGCAGTGGACGCTTACGGCTAGCCCCCGTATCCATTCACTTTTTTTAATTGTCTGTATGTTTGTGTTTTCCTGAGTATGATGTCCTGTCCGTGTATTTGTTTTTGTGTAAATTTTGTGTGGTGCAGTCCCCCTGCACTTACTATTAAAATATAAATTGATTTATATTTAATTTTAAATTTATTGAAATAAATTGAACGTCAGTCATTTACGCCTAGCCTGCTTAGTTCATTCTACACGTTGTTAATGATTATTTTGTTGTTTTGATTCAGCCATTACTAATTACTTCTGTATTGTTTATCTTTGTTCATTACAAATGGCACCCGAAACCATAAAATAGAAGACTCGTGTACTGATTTTATAATGTTCATAATGTCTTAAATATTGGATATTTGGATCCCATATTTTTGCGACAACCAAGATACCAAAATGAATATCGATTTATGTGGACCAATTTTGAAATTTAGTTCGTGGTTTTAATTCGGATTTTATGGAAATTATTTAGTTAGAGGTTAAGCTCCTTTAAATAATGCCTGGGTGGGCTCCATAGTAGTTGGACAGTGGTACCTAAAAGAGATAAGTTTTTTCATCTGACTTCAACCAAGCAGCTATGTTGGTTTGATGATTTTTTTTTAAAAAGGGTTAACTTCTAACACACTGAATTTATTTGAACGGGGGGTTGGATGGCCTGCCATTGAGTCAACTGGCGTGGTTTCGAATCCTCCGGTTTCATCCCACTGCTAAAGACCCCTACGCTCGAGCCAAATTATTGAAATAAAATTTTAAAAAACATTTGTTAGTCCTGAAATGACCTAGTTTGTGTCGAGTGGACGTTAAACACCTCTCTCTCTCTCTCTCTGAACGAAATTCTAGCTGTAGGTATGTTTCACATGTTTTTAGATTTAGTCAAATATGTTTGCCCGGTCCACGTTTCAATGGATTTCCCCAAAATTTGGTAGAATTGGGATGGGGTTTAACGTCTGTACAAACT